ATAGTTTACTTCTAGCTGATCTCTCAGTGTAATAACTATCTTACTTTTCCTGGGTTGAATATTTTCATTTGTAAATTTCAACAAGCCTTACACTTTCGCGCTAACATCCTGAATTAATTTTGCAACAACTTGTCTGAAATAGTTTCTAATTGTCAATTCTTTTCTTTTCTCTCTTCTTATTTATCATCTAGTAGCAGGTTGATTTCTAAAAAGAAAAAGGAAAAATTGTCTGTAAAAGCTATCTTGCTTTTGGAAAATGTTTTTTTGTTAGATATAGCTTCTATAATCACACTTTCTTATATAAACACCTTGGTCATAGGAAGTTGACGTAGCAAAAGAAGAAAATTATTGCCAAGATTAAGTTTCTCATACATGAGTAGCCACTACTCTTTGAGGGGATCATTTATATTTCAGTTCTGCATTAGAAATTTACCTGTTGCTTCTGATATCTTGCAGTTACAAATGATTCTAGGACCGAATTGTCTCCTGACCCTATCACTGCAAGATCAGAAGCTGATAAGATAGTTGATGGAATGGACTTTGGTGAGCTTTGCAATGAGTTTGAGTGCATCAGTAGCCCACTGGTAGAATCAACAGCAAGACAACTTGTAAGGGATATCCTAGAGCTTCGAGAAGGAAATCGTGCTCTTGGAACATATGCAGTTTCTGTCAAGTACAAGGTATTTATTCAATGTTGAACATTTACTAATTTCTTAATCTTTCATAGTTAGATCTTTGAACCTAATTGAGCACATTAAGTGTTATCTGAATTCTGAATCAAGTCATTGTACTTTTGGTTCCAAAGCTTTTGTCAAATTTTTCCACCTGTGGTTTGTTTTATATAACTAGGAGAGAAAATGAACTAGCTGATGCTCTTGTTGCTCATATTACAGAAATTTCTAATAATTGGTCTTCTAGACTAACTTATACATGGGTAGAATAGAACTGGGGATGGTGCATATATTGTTTAATTAGCACATCCATGTTTTGTCACCACCTTATTGCTTTCATTAGTAACACTTTCTCGATAATGATTGGCTGGTTAATTGCTCTAGTTGGTGATAATGAAAAGGATAACTTATCTTCTAGGTCCAGAATATGTTTTGGTAATGTCTGTTAGCAATATGCTTTATCACTTTTTGTCTAATACCATAATATGATAGTAATGCAGGATCCAGTAAGAAGTTTTACTGGTCGTGAGAAGTACAAGAGACCACTCTGGGTTACTGGAGCTCTAGAGAAGCCTTTTGTGGTAAGGGTTGAATGTTAAACAGTTTTTTATACTTATAAATTTTCTGCCTTCGCATTCACTATTTCTCTTTATTTTTTAAATGAGAATCAACAGTCAATAACTTTCATGGTATCATGGCATGACTGAAATCACAAACTTTGCAGTGCTGCTTGCTTTTTCTTTCATATGCAAGAGGTTTTCATTTATTCCTTCCTCATTGATGTGAGTGGTACATTTAGTACCGCTGATATAGATTTTAGAAATTTAAGTTGTGGGCTTCTTTGACATCAATTTGAAGTTCAGGATTTTAGATGACCGATTTCATTGCCTTTACTTGAGTCAGAGTCAAGTTTGCATTAAATTTCTAAGGAATTCTCTTACTTATCCACTGTTTAGTTTCTCATTCAATATGTTATTTAGCTGCTTCATAGTCTAACCTGCTCCCACTGTTTGTTATTTATACTGATTGATTCAATATCATATTCCTTTTCCTTCTTATAGGCAGTGCAGGAAATGGTGATGTTGTCAACCAGTGTCCTTAACATCAAGTGGACAATAAAGGGAAGGCCAAAATCTTTTATTGCTAGCATAGGAGGAGATCTAATAATAAGAGTCAATTCAAAATTCACTCTAAACCAGATTAGTGGCCAGGTGAGCATGAAGAGTTCTGGGATTTATCAGCCTCATCAATCATTGCTCAGGCATTTTTCTGGACATCACGCCGTCTTTTTGCTACAATTGAGTCAGGGAAGGACTTGGCTGATGTAGCAAAGAACTTGACAACCCGTGTCTCAACCGAAAATGAGAACTTAGAAACTTATCCAGATCCTTTCGGCGATCCAACAAAGGTGAGTTGTTTGGTACTTCTTTTTCATCCATGCATGACACTCTAATTAAACTACTCTACTCTAAAAAAGTGCCACATGCATTTATACAAGATGATTAAACAATCTTCTTATGATTTGAGTCCAACTCCCATTGTTGTTACATACTTACATTCGAAAGATAAATTTCTTTCCTTCATAGAATTCAACACTAAGTTTGATGTAAGCCTCAAGCTTTCAAATTCCAGGCATTAGATTTTCTGTTACTCTTCTGATTCTCATTAGCCAATTTTCTCCTTGTTCAGTTCTTTCAAAGGGACGACAGCTTCCAAAGAGACGCATACCAAATTGCACTTCTTCTAGCAGTCCTCTATTTTATTGTACAGTTCCTAAGAACAACCTTGTAAGAACCATCTTTCCATTGTCTATTATTGAACATGAAATCATTGTAATTACTTACAGGTTTTGTTTTTAGTTATACTGAACGATTATAGTACATCTAATGTATATATCTGTGCTTTGTTTTCAACTTAGAATAGTAATTAAATTATATTTCACTTAATTTTTAATTGCTATCCTTGTCAGTACCATCTTTCCATTATCTATTTTTTTTTTTTTTAAACAATTGTCATGGGCCGCATTTAACCGTTGCCCGAGAGAGGGGGTGAACCTTTAGAGTGGAGAAGGCCACTTGGCCCTATGAACCCTCCACTATTTACCATTGAACACGAAATCATTTGTAATTTTTATGGAAAAAATGTTATATAGTTTAAATTATATAAAACTACACAATTATAATCATTAAAAAGAGATAGATCATTTGATATTAGAGTCTTTTTTTTCATTTGATATTAAAATCTTTTCTTTCATTTAATGATTTTTATTTTACAATCTGATACAGTATAAATTATAGAATAAGAGACTCGATTTTTATTTTTAATGTAAGATTTAAGATTAATTTATATAAAATTTATACAAAATATTAATTAATTATTTTTTTATTATAAAAAATTGGGATTTATTCAGAAGATCTCGTTTAGAGTGCTAGATATAGCGTGGGGCAGGACAAAGTTTTTGTCCCTAGTCCTATGTCGCATGTTTGGTAGGATGAGAGGATAGGATACAATATCATCCCATGTTTTATCCATCCTCACTTCCTTGGACAAAAGTTATCCCACCTCCCCCAAGGGATTAGGTGGGATAAATTGGGTTTTATTTTTGTACCCCTCCTTTCTCTACCCCATGATTCTCTCTCTGTTCCTTCTTCCATTCTATTTTATACTCCGACACGGCATGTTATGGACACCGATTCCTACATTACTCTGTTTATCCTACTGATTCTGGCGTTGCCTGGCTCATCCTACCTACATTGATCTCCTTTGTTCAAGTCTCCAATCATCTGTTTCTTCATCTTCGGCTATAGATTTCGATTCTCTTAAGTTTCCTATTATCCCTTTCTTCATCTTCTGTCCCCGATCTCTTCCATTTTCATTAATCTCAGATCTCGTCCATTTTCTGTAGTCTCGGATCATCCCATTCCATTTCTTTTCTCCTAAAATAAAGAGGCACAAATATATCCTCTCATCTCTCTCACTGGACGAATACTCCAATCTCGATTTCTACATCAATTGTTGCCTATGTTGCCCTCTCCTCATTCATTTTGGTAAGTCTCCAATAGTTGCTTTCTCCTTTCCCCTACTGAGAGTAGTCCTTTTGCTTCTCCAACAAAATTTGGTGTTAATATACAATTCGAATTTGGGAGAGGAACTTTAGTTTTCTCAGGAACAGAAGGAAAAGGAAAATTACTAGAGAGGAAAAGAAAATGGAGAGACAGGTGTAGTGGTCAACATCCTGTGCAGATGGAATTTGTTTGGGGCTCGAGAAAATGAAAATGAAAATCCTGGAAATAGAGAAAAACGAAAGCAAAGTTTGAAACAATTTATTAGTACGTATTTTACTAATATTTCTGAGAAAAATGCAAGCAAAGAAAGATTTAATTTAATATATTATTAATATTTCTGACGCATGTGTGTCTCAGGGTATTATAGACTTTTCAAAACCTCTTGACGCACTTATTATAGGTAATTACATCTTCATGGCTTTGAAACACAAAGTAAGGATTTCATTTGCATTTGCCCCGTCGAGTCAACTGGCATCCTGTCAGCTTAAGGTGTATTTTTTTTTTTTTATGAGCGGGTTTCGAGTCTGCTCCTTAACAATTTGTTCAAAAAAAAAAGTAAGGATTTCATTTGAACCGATTTCGGATCCAAGTGGTTCACCTCAAATGTTAAGACATTTGAATTAGTTAGTTGGAGTTTTGAGTCTTACCCAGAGAAGTCAATCCCGTACCGTATCGG